AATGCGGGGCTCGATCCCAGGACCCTGGGATCATGACCTGAGCCGAAGGCAGACGCTTAACAACTGAGCCACCCAGGCGCCCCCAAAATGTACTTTTAAAATGGAGAGAACTGGCTGACACCACCTTAACCTGGGATGGCATCCATAAAAAAGTGAGACCCCAGACATTTGTGTTCCTGTTATTATTCTGGTTTGCGGGAATTCCAGGCAGCAGGAGATCAAAAGAAACAGTGCCATAAGCAAGTAACCAGACAAACCCAGAATGTGCGGCCTTCCACAGAGCAACTAACCTGGTCTCTCCAAAAAGTCAGTGTCGTGAAAAGCAAAGCTGGGCAGGAGAGGGCTGGGGACAGGCAAAGAGCCACAGAAGACCACGTGAGTGCATCATCTTTACTGAATTCGGAGGATTTGACCGATAGCAATAAAAGACAATTTGGGGACTATTAGGGAAATTTGGATTTGCACTAACTGTTAAAAAAACATCAGGGAATGATTGTTCATTTTGTCAGGTGAGCTAAAGGTATTTTGCAGTTATGTAGAACGTATTGTTTTTTCTTGTGGGTTTGTTTACTGACTTTGTTTATATTGACACTGGAAGAGACAGGAACTTGCATGTCGACTGAGGGAAGGAACCAGAGAAGGGGAAGCATAAAGAACCTGGAGGAGAGAGAGAATGGATGGAGGAAGGCCCCTGACCAGATGGGACTCTTCTGGGGAGGAAGGTGGACACGGGAAGTTGAGGGAACCCCACCTATTTCCTCAGGGACAGAAGAAGGCAAAGCTGCCTCTGACACCGAGGAAGCCAATATGGGAGGGAATTTGAGGAGAAAAAAGGAAGGTTTGTAGAGACCACGGAGAAGGTAAGTAAGGGCGTGGCCAAAAATATGGACTAAGGAGCCACCCTGAAAGCCCAAATAAAATTGTGCAGCATCTATCTGCAGAGTCCCCAACCCACACGTCTTGTGGTTTTGGGAGGCACTTCCCTGAACCAGGCCATTCGGGTGGGGAGGGCAGTGTGGCCAAGGGACAGGGAGGCAAAGGCAGGTGGAGGGCGATGGCTCGCACTGGGTCCAGGAGGGAGTCAAAGAAAGGGAGCACCCGTGGCAGCCGAACCTGGGAGAGAAAGGAGGGCATCCTGGAGGTGAGGTCTGGAGGGGACTGGTGGGAGGGCAAGACGGGAAGGACGAGACACAGACAAGTCCCAGCGGGAAATCTGTTTTCCTGGAGGGAGAGGGCTCTGGGCTCCTGCATCCGTCCAGCGCCGGGAAGGAAGCCGCCCTTCCCTGCAGCGCCTCCGAGAGCCTGACCTAAGGCGGTGGTTCAGCGAAAACACAAGCACCTCTGCCATCGACCTTGGGCTGCTTAGAGCTGAAAGTGCGGTTTTATTTTTATTTTTATTTATTTGAGAAAGAGAGAGTGATGGAGAGAAAGCACAAGCAGGGGGAGGGGCAGAGGCAGAGGGAGAAGCAGACTCCCCACTGAGCAGGGAGTCCGACTAGGGGCTCTAGGGACTCAATCCCAGGACCCCGGGATCATGAACTGAGCCAAAGGCAGACGCTTAACCAACTAAGCCACCTAGGCGCTCCTGAAAGTGTGGTTTTAAAAAATTCAGGGAAAATTCACAAAACCTAAAGTTAACCCTCTTAAAGTGCACAATTCAGTGGCGTTTAATACGTTCACATTTTGCAGCGAGAGCATTTCATCATCCTCAAAGGAACCCCAGTACCCACTAAGCGGTCACCCCCTCTCCCCGCTTCCCCAGCCCTGGGCAGCCACTACGCTGCTTCCTGCATCTGTGAATTTACAGAGACTGGACATCTCATCTAAATGGAATCACATGCTACGTGATCCTTTGGGTTGTCTCCATCTTTTGGCTGTGGCAGATATGTTTCCGTGACCATTTGTGTCCAAGTATTTGTTTGAGTACCTGTTTTCAGTTCTTTGGGGGTATGTCACTAGGAAGAATTGCTGCTGAGTCATCTGGTAATTCTATCTGTTTAACTTTGAGGAACCACTTAACTGTTCTCCACAGTACCTACACCATTGTATTTTTCACTAGCAATGTATGAGGGTTTCAATTTCTACACATTCTTGCCAACACTTGTCATTTATAGTTTTTTTTTTTTTTTTTTATGGTCATCCTAGTGGCTGTGAGTTGGTATCTCACTGCGATTCGGGCTTGTATTTCCCTAATGATTAGTGATGTTGAGCATCTTTTCTTTTTTTTTTTTAAAGATTTT